TACCGTCCGGACGTCTGAGGAGCAAAATGAAGTCCCTGGCGGGTGGTATGCTGCGTAGATCCTTAGTTTCTCGCCCGCCGCCGCCATTTTTATGCCGATAGGGGGCATCGTTTCGTATTCCGATAAATCTAGCTCTTGATGGACGATATCCCTCCTCACTAGGACCGCCGTCCCTCTATAGGCGGCGCCTTGAGAAGTGACCTCGTTCCTCCTGTACATGTGGTAATTGGGTAGCTTTACGTGCGTGTTCGGGTTCAGTTTTGTCTCTCCCAGCAAGATGACTTGAATGTGTTGTTGTTGGGCGCCTGTGCGGGGTTCCTGAAGCTTCTGCTGTATCCCATACGGGTTCCAGTAGAGGAAGCGCAGGTTACTCTCCTCCGTAGTGCCGTGCCAGGAGGTTTGCCAACGCCTTCATCACTACTGTTATAGGATCCGTCCCGGCTCTAATATCGGCCAGGACCTGACTGTAGACTTCGACTGCTATACTGCCAACCAAGCGTTGGATGGCGTCAGCAGTCTCGAAGCCGGCTAATGGTATTCTTGGCACCTGAGAAGGCGTTGGCACTGGTCTCGGGTGCTGGTTTACGTTTCTTTGTATACGGGTAGAGCGCGCTCTGTATGTAGAGCGGGCTCTATTTTCCGATAGAGCCATTTCTGGCACTCTACCCATTCTAACTGCTTTTTGTTCCTTGGTAACCTGCGCCTGGGCTATCGTTACCGCTGGGGTTGGGGTAGAGGTGGCTGCCTGAGGAGGGGACTGCACCTTCTTCTTCTTCTTCCTCCCCCGCTTGCTCTTCTGGGAGGTTTGACGCTCGATTGCGTCATTAGCGGGGGCTGGAGAGTCACCCCGGTGGTTTCCTTGGTTGTTGTTATAACCGGCACCACCGTTTCCATAGGTGTCGTGACGGGTGGAGGGGGGATTGCTTACCCTTTCCTCTAATTGTAGTCCACCCGTCTTCCTGGACCACGGCCCTGGGACAACTCTGGGGGACCCTCTTGGGCTCTTCTGGGAGTAAGCCCGGCAGAGTGATCCCTTGCTTCCTTGAAATCCTCCTCAGGACTGGGTAGCGCCGATCATTGGCTGTATGGTTTTTGGCGCAATTTCCGCATCGCGGTTCTTCATTTCTACCCCTTGGGCACTTACTGGCGATATGGTCCCCGGCGCAGCGAACACACTTCACTGGCCTGAAGAAATTCGTGGATGCATGGCCAAAGGCCTGGCAGCGGTGGCATTGCCATGGGACCGCTCTTCCTTGCCAGGCCTCTATGACAACTCCTTTCATGTACAAGATTTCGTCGACTTGGTAGAGTTCATTTAGGTGCTCCAGGCTCAGGTGGTCCAGCTGCGCAAAGTAGAGGCACCCAGTTCTGCCTCCACATCCCTTTCACATATTTGATTGGGTATCCTTTGGCCCTGATAGCCTCCTATATTGCAAATAGATCCGTGCCCACTGGCAGCCCCGTATGCCCACATTTGTGGGCTTGTCCTCCTCGGGTGTGTAGCAGTACCAGGACATGGGTGGTACTTTCTCGGTAATCTCCATAAGGTACCTTTGTAGCGTCCGGAATTCTTCCGGACTTTGGGGGGTGAACCTAACCCCCTTCCCGAATGGACGAGCATTCGGTGCGTGATCCAACTTCTTGTTGAGCAACTCAAAATGCTTCGTCCAGTCCGGGTCTCAGCCACTATAGGCGGGTATCTTTTCGAGGTTTCCTCTTCCGGTTTGGTTTTTGGTGCCTCAGCTTTCCTGGTCCTTGGTACTGCTGGGGCAGCTGCCAATTGGGCGTAGCTGGTCGAAGGCCTTTGACCATCGTCCGATGGTCAGCCTGACGGGTTGGTACTTGGCGCGGGCAGTGAATGCCCGGCAGACGGCGTTAGAGTCGCATAGGTGGTTGAGTCCCACCCATACGACCCTTCTCCTCCTTGCTCCAGATCAGCAACATCCCTGCTGCTATGGTGGTCCGGTAATCTGGGAGAGGTTCGATTGTTTGGAGAGGTGACGTTCTGCGGATCTTGGGCCTCTCCGGTTGTCGGCGATCGCTTTCCTCTTCGGATGTTGAATATTCCGAGGAATAAGGAGATCCGAAGCTTTGCCTCTTCTGCTGGAGAGATGCAGCGGTCTCGGTTGGAGTGTGCCAAAGTGGCGTTTTCTTTGCCCGCTGTTATAGGTGCAACGGTTCACGGCCGGTCATACACTCAGGTACGACGGACGCGAGCGCGGCCCTCGGTGCGGGCTCTTTACCCGGCGACGAAGGCTTTCTGGTCGGGATTTGGGAGTAGGAGGACACTACTCTGGTTCTCTCGGGGTTAAAAATGTACCGGTAGGCGATTGGCCTCTCCAAAACGCCAGGACGGTCCGGTGGTTTTCTAGTTTTGGAAGAGATATCTTATCTGACATGATGATGACCCACCTATATAGTGAGTCAGTAATCTACTAAGGCCCTATCTGAATTGCCAACCGATCGGCAGCAACTAGTGATGCGCGACTCGGATGGTAGGGATGATAAAATGTTAGCTTCGACACAGTGGGCACTGCCTACCGCTTTTATAGCGAAAGGGTGGGGGAAGTGCGGTGGTGGCACTTTAAAGACGCGACTAGGCACAATAAGCACGGAACGCTTTAAAGTGCCTAAGAATCTGCCTAGGGGCCGGTGACCTCGACGCCTCATGGAGTAAACGGACTCAACGATCGGTGGAGTATGTCGTACCGGCGGTTGTGTACAGCCACTGCTAACCACAAACAACGCACACCTAGGAGATCCTTAGATGTTAATAATCTTGTATTGTATGAAATATCATTACAGCAAATATTGGCTATTGTTTTGAGCGATTATATATATATTTTTTTTATTTATATATATATATATATAATTTTGAATGTCTGTGCAGTTTCGCCACAACGGTATACAGTTAACGCTACGGTTATAGCTATTTGGCAAAGGTTTTCTGTAAGGTGGAGGTAGCCAACTATTGTATCTCAAGAACCATTCTCCAGCTTGGGTTGCTCAAATTCAATCAGGAATCTCGCTTATGTTACCCATTATCTTGTTTATGTTTCTTCTTTTCTTGAAAATGTTGGGCACTACTTACGTATGTCTATCGAACTTTGTGTTTAATTTGTATTTCATCAATACTATTTTTATATCTATGGCCATCTCATGAAATAAATTATTTACAGATGTCATCCATGAATGAAGTTTGTGAAGTTTGCTGGGATAAAGCTCGAGATTTGAGCTTACATGTGCCAGAAGGACCACAAGAAAGACCTCAGCATATTGTGTTGCCCAATATAAGAATTTCCGCTTTCATGCAATATATACACTAGAGATATCCCGCGAGAGAATAGATGGTTTAGAGAGAATGAACCCAATGTTGCTTCATGCTAAAATTAAGTCCCGCCGTTTTTGCGCTAAAACTTTTAGTTTAAAGTTGCAAAAACAAACATGATTGGGCGGGACGCTATCAGAAGTTATTGCTGTAACTGCATTGTCGATTTAAGAGCAGTGGGATGCTACTCACATGTTATGAGTATTATTTGGTACCTAAAACCATGCTCGCCATGAGAATATTACCCGGCCTGCCCCCTTCTTAGATGAAGTTTTATTAAGAATTCCTTAATTATAAGTATAATAAAATAAATGAACTTAAAAACAATTTTTTTTATTTACCTACCCTCAAAACCCCAGAAATTCATCATTGTCAAATTGTTGCAGACCGCTACTGAGTATAGGTACCTCCTAATTCACAACGCTGAGTAGATACCGATACTCATCTCAATCTTCCTACTTAATGGTAGAACCACACTGAAGCTATAAAATAGTTATAGCACGAATGACTCTGCTCGACCGGGGAGGAACCACGCTCTCACAGAATACCAGTGTAATATAGCAGCTTAATACTGCTGTGTTTCGTATGGTGAGTGTAGAGATCCGGAGACTCTTTTTAAATGGAAACGGGGAATCCGATCTTAGTCCTCAGAGGTGACAAAGCATCTGAACTTTGATTCTAAATCGAGAATAAATGTAGATGTCCGTGGGCCACAGCATCCACTAACTAAATCAGGTGGACTATCTGTTTGATTGTCACCCTTATTCTATAAAAAATGGTTAGTAAAATACTACAGAGTAGTGAAAAGAAATATAGAATATTTACTTTATAACAGAATAATGTTTATTTGCCTATATGTAACGATCTACATAGGTACACTAGGAGAGGTTTTAGCCGTCGACGGATTGTCGGACAATTAGTCGCTCCTGTTTTGTTGCTTTAATAATGGTTTGAAGTAGATTTTGATTCGTAAAATTGATGCAATTTTGTGAATTGTCTGCGCGTGTGAACTATTAGAGAAAACGACGAAACAAGTGGTTTAATGTTGATATAATCTCCCAAAAACTGTGACGCAAAAAGTGACGCATCAGCATATTGTGATGAAAAAAATATTTAAAAACAAAGATTACGAGAGAAATGAAATTCGTAAAGCCAGTTAAATAAAAAAATTGTAACACTAGTATATATTATTATCTTTTAGTCTATGGTCTATGTAGATAATCTTAAAAATTAAAACTTTCCCATGTTCTAAAAATATAAAAATTCAAAAGTGGTTTGCCTATCCTACCAACTATCAATTGAAACCAAAAATATCCCAAAACACGAAATTTTATTAGCGGTACGAAACTCCCATACAAGCATGCCATTCCCCTCAGTTAAATAAAATATCCGGTCACAAACTCTTTTGTAATATCGCATGCCAGGGTTCTGAGATACAAGTAGCGCTTAGTTTAGGACCCGCAGTTACCTGTGTTTATATAATGTTAGTTTTGTTATTAAGATTAAATAAGAAAAATTAAACTAGGTACTTTCATTCAATGTCGCCATAATCTACAAACCAGCGATTATATAAATTGATACTATGACATAAAATACGGATTTCTGTTTATTTTTTTATTATGATTTCGATATTTTTATCCACATGTGACCATTATTTTGTTAAAAAACTTACGGAAATTATGTTCCACACTGTCTTTAAAAACAAGCCTCGAAAGTTCACCGATTTTTAATGGATTTGCATCACTGGTACAACTGTTGTAGACAGTTACTTCTTCTGATCTGAAAATGAAAATTTTTAGTTTTTCAGAAGGGTTAATGTTCCTCAGGGCAACGTATGAATTTTTGTATATTATATATTTTAATGTATACTTATGTTTCCATACATAAATACATACCAGACCAGCGACGCAACGGTAAGCAATATCAAACGTGAGAAACGTCTGGTAGTGATACTAAGTTAGCCAAACAACTTGCTAAATAGGACTCGTCAAATTGTTCATGTTTACGTGGTTATGAGAAGGACGAACGAAATTAAAACTTTATGATTTGAATTTTAAAAATCATACATGAATGCAGACACATACGTAATATTGTCTTCATAATGTATAAATGTACGCATATAATCATAATCATAATCTTTATTGCAATCAAATGGTAACAATAGATGTGACGTTTTTTTTTTTAAATAGTCCCCATTTGAACCCACTTTGGGCGTAGCAATTATAAAAATATTAAATATTGTTTTTAAACAAGAATAATATTATATAAATAATAATATTACAATATTATCCTATCGTTCAAAGCTTAAATGGCTACCTATACGTCAAAGGCGATGCTCCAGAATTTTACTTGTACTTTATTCAATTTTAAACGATCCAAGTTCGCCTTCTTATTTTAAGGATAATTTTCATTTTTTTCACTCGATAGACGGTCGAATATCCCGACAGTCAAACTGTCTGAGGATAAGGTTTCCACAGCATAAGTCTAATTTTTTTAGGTCGTCTTTTACGATACAAGCTATACAACTTTGGAACACCCTCCCCAATGTTATTAAGAATGAAACAAATAAAAAAGTTTTCAAACTTCTTCTCCGAGAACATTACCTGAAGGCAACTACTAATGGACATTATTTTTCCTTAATTCTTGTCTTTCTTTTCTCCTTTTTTACTTCAAATATTTATTTCATTATATATTATTCTAATATTATATTAAATATATCATTCATTTGGATATTTATTTACGAAGTTTATAAGCATGTATATATATTATATATATGTATGTATGTATTATTGTGCGTATATTTATACTATATGACGCAATGGTCGCACCTGCCAACAATTGTCCTTGACACCCAGGGTTGACTGGCAGAGAATACCACATGGCATTAAGTCCGCCCTATACACCCTTTAGCTTAAGGTGTTACTTGTAAGTTTTTTCAATAAATAAATAATAGATTTCATTAGTAAATTATATTATTTTAAAATTCTCTAAATTTAATTAAATTATTGAACAGAATGACAAGTAAAAAAATTATAATTATTTATAGAAATAAAAAATAAAATGAAATAAAAAATAATAATTGAAGAAGAAAATAAATTAAATTAGATAGGCACAGGCCGAAGTTGTCCACACAAATTAAATAATATTTGTATCAAAATATTCATTTAAATTATAGAAACAATTTTCAATTAAATATAACTTTAATTTTGATAAAAATAATGTTGTACTCGTTAGATTTTTTATGTAATTTGGAAGGTTATTAAAAATTTTAACCTCCATACAGTAGGAACCAGAGCTATGTAATGCAAGTGTAGATTTCGACAATAATAGCCTATTTTTATTTGGTCTATTTGAGTACCTATGTGTAATTTATTTCACTAAAATTAAGTTCTGGGTGGTTTTTTACAAATTCTCATGTTTCCCAAATATAAATAGACGTCAAAGTCAACATTTTAAACTTTTTGAAGTGGGGCTTACAACTTTCTGGAATTTTTATGTTTGCGAAGATTCTTATAATTTTTTTCCAATTATAAATAATTGCTGTGCATGTTTACTATTTCCCCACAACATGACACCGTATGACAGCTATGAAAATGTGTATGCGTAATATGCCGACAGAGCGCTGGGGACATCGCTGGTTTCTTTATATTCTCGTAATACGTAAGTGAACTTTGATAGCCTATTTTTATGTACTTTGTTTATATGGGATTTCCAGGTCATCAGATGGCAGTCGATTTTCAGGTCTAACAAGTTGAAGTTGTCAACAGTTCCTATAGGTTTATTATTATTAGTAAAAGCGATATTTAGTGGTGATTTTTGAACTGGTTGGAATTGCATAATTTTGGTTTTATTAAAGTTAATCTCTAGGTTGCGATGTGTCAGCCAATTTTTAACCTGGTTCGATACTTGATTCAATTTATTATTTAAATTCTGGTTTTTTGTATGCGGAATAAGAATGGAAATGTCATCAGCAAATATAATAGAGGTTTCAGTCAATACCCTAGGTAATTCGTTTATATAAATAATAAATACCAAACATCCCAAAACGCTACCCTGGGGGATGGAGCAAGAAGTGTGGATTACTTCAGATCTAACGTTGCATATTTCGCCAGCATCATGGTTATAATGCATTACGAGTCGTATCTCTACATATTGTTTACGGTTTTCTAGGTAAGATTTAAACCATTTGTATTCCGTATCTCGTATACCGATGTCATACAGCTTCTGTAACAGTATTCGATATTGTACTCTATCACAGGCTTTGGACATGTCTAATAATATACCTACGATGTATTTCTTTTTATTTAAAATATCAAGTACTTTTTATACATATTTGTATACTGCAGTGAAGTTGACCGTTTCTTCCTAAAGTCATTTTGTGAATTATAAAATAGTTTAAATTTTTCACAGAAAACTCTATTTGACATTGCCTTTTCGAATATGTTCGAGGATGTGGGTAACATTGCGATCGGTCTATAATTTGTAGTGTTTGCTTTTGTATCCTTTTTATGTATAGGTTTTACTATAGCAGTTTTTAATATATCTGGAAATTTTCCTTCAGTAAAAGTTTGGTTGATTAAAATACTAAATGGATGAGTTAATGAATCAATACATTCTTTTGTTAATTTAGGTGGTAATTCATCTATTCCATAACTATTTTAATTTTTTAATTTTTTATAATAATAATAGTTCCTTCCAAATTCACAGAACATAAAACATAGTATTAAGTGTACTGGTATTTTTAAATGATTGTGTTTGTAGAGATGGTATGTTTGGTTGTGGCACGTGGCCAAATGATCATCATCATCATCATTACAGCCCTTCACAAGTCCACTGCTGAACATAGGCCTCCCCCAAGTAATGCCACAAAGCACGGTCCTGAGCCACCTGCATCCATCGACTTCCTACATATCTTACCAGGTCGTCACTCCATCTAGTGGGGGGTCGCCCTACACTACACCTACCGGTACGAGGCTGCCACTCGAGAACCTTTCTTCCCCATCGGTTATCGGTTCTTCGAGCTATATGGCCGGCCCATTGCCACTTCAGCTTACTAATCTGTTGGGCTATGTCGGTCACTCTAGTTTTACTGCGGATATCCTCATTTCTGAGTCAATCACGCAGAGAAACTCCGAGCATAGCCCTCTCCATAGCTCACTGAGCGACCTTGAGCGTCCTCATACGGCCAGCAGTGAAGGACCACGTCTCAGATCCGTAAGTCATCACTGGCAACACGCACTGGTTGTACAATCTAGTTTTTAGAGATTGAGGTATACCTGACGAGAAGATATGTCGTAATTTCCCGAACGCTGCCCAGCCGAGTTGAATCCGTCGATTGACCTCTCGGTCGAAGTTGGACTTACCTAGTCGGACTATTTGTCCCAGGTAAACGTACTCTTCAACAACTTCGAGCATAGTGCTCCCAACAACTACCGGCATAGGTGTGACATGGACATTAAACATGATCTTTGTTTTGTCCATGTTCATCTTAAGACCTATCCGTTAGGAGGCACTATTGAGGTCATTGAGCATAGTGCTTAATTCCTCCAGTGATTCTGCCATAAGGACTATATCGTCGGCAAATCGAAGGTGAGTGATGTACTCGCCATTGATGTTAATACCGTATCCTTTCCAGTCCAGTAGCTTGAAAACGTCTTCCAATGCAGCGGTGAAGAGTTTCGGGGTTATAACGTCACCCTGTCTTACACCTCTCTGCACTTGGATAGGTTTCGACCTCTGGTTCAACTGATGCAAAGAAATTATTAAATATATTAGCTTCCCTTTTCGGTTCTGATACTTGTTGTTTGTCCACTAAAATTTCAATATTTTCTTTTATTTTATTCGTTGTTTATTAGTACGTTCCTTTATAATGGCCCACATACATTTTACCTTATTACCAGATTGTTTTTTTGTATTTACATAATCTATTCATTTGGCTTTATTTACTGATTTTTTCAGTATTGCAAATATTTTATAGTGTATTTTATATACAGATTCTTTGTATACGAACTTAGGACTTTTAAAACTCTTTTATTTAGACATGAAATTTTGAGGCCTTTAGTTAGCCAATGTTTTTTTTCTTGCTCTTAAAGTAACAGTTCTTTTAGGAATGCATACATTTAGAATATTTTGAATTATTTCATGAAATATATTATAATTTTCATTATGGCTTCTTTCGACATTTAAAATAGTACGCCAGTCTGTAAGTGAAAGCTGAGATTTAAATCCATTAATGTTTTTCTCGTTAAATAATCGTTTTGTAATTACCCAAGGAATTTTTAGTATGTTATTTTCGGTTTTTAAATTTATTATAGTTCCTTTGTGATCAGAAAATCCTAAATCTGCAACATAAGCTTTTAACTCCGCTAAAGGGAAGTTAATGAAGATAAGATCTAAGCATGTGGCAGAATTGCATGTGATACGAGTTGGCTCCTTTATTATTTGGATAAAATTATATTCTAGCATGAAATACAGAAAGTTTGATTGTTGTGAATCCTCTAAAGTATTCACGTTAAAGTCACCTCCAATTATAACTCGTTTTTATCATGTTTTCTATTTAAATATTCTAATAACATTTTCATTTGTGTGTAGAAAACTTCACTCTCTCTCTATTATTCCAGTATAGACTGACAATAATAATATTTAATTTAGTGATTTCCACTGCACAAAATTCTATTACATATTCAATTGAGAAACTGCTTACATCTTTTAGTTCTATATACTCTAAATCATTTTTAGTACGATACATACACCACCTCCTGTGTAATTTTTTCGGCAAAAATAGGTTGCTACATGATAGTTTTGAAATACAACTAATTCTAGTTTATAACTACACAGCCAAGATTCCGAAATACAAACTGCGTATGGTAGATTTTGTTCTAAATAGGTTTACAGAGATTGTTCTAAAGAGGTTTTATTGAATAAACTTTGCATATTTTGGAACGAAATATTTACATTATTAATCATGACAAAAGACTGGTGTTAAGTTTATGGCGTGGCTTGTTTCAGATAGATTATAGTTACAGGGCATTGTCTTTTTGGTATTTGTCTTATTAATATCATACCATAATTGGTGTAATAATGATTTTAAATTTTGGAATATTGTTTTCATGATAACTTACCCAATGGTCAAGAGAAGATCGTGTAATCATAACTTAGCTCAAAATTGGAATCTAATCTAAATGCAAATTCATGAATTTGTACTTCTTTGTAGAGCAATGCATTAAATTTTTCGATCCTTTTATTATAAATGTGGTAATTTAAAGGTAAAGCATAATATAACGCCCGTATTTTTTTATTTTCAATAATAACTCTCTTAATTCTTGAACACATTTTTTATAATTTCCGCTTCGCATAAAATCTTCTTCATCTATAATGATTTCTTATATTTACGCTAACACTACACATTGATTAAAACGTGCTTTTACGGATTTTATCGCGTTTATTTTACTATTATTTTTAATTCCCGACGTTTCGGGCGCTTTCCAGCACCCATGGTCACGGTGGACTGAGATGACTGACGTCCCGATGTCATTGTTAAACCCGGAGTACCTTCAGCTTTTTTAATTATTGTTTATGGTCCGATCTATGCAAAATGAACTGACTATGTCCTGAGGTCTTGCAGTGGTATGCTTGGGTTTAGTTTTAATTTTATTGATTATAGGATCCCAAGCAGGTGGTAGTACCCAGCCTCCTTCTCTATTGAAATTATGATGTTTTTTAATTTCAATAGCCTCACGTATCATCCTTGGTAGGAATCGGTGTTCTTTCGCGAGGATTTGTGGTCTATCAAATCTGATGTAATGGTTGGGGCCGTCTAGGATATGATCGCAAACTGCAGACTTCCCGGAACGTCGACATCGGGACGTCAGTCGTCTCAGTCCCCCGTGACCATGGGTGCTGGAAAGCGCCCGAAACGTCGGGAATTAAAAATAATAATAAAATAAAATCCGTAAAAGTAGTTTTAATCAATCTTCTTAATCTATTAATAGTATACAAAAGTCATTTTTTGAAAGATTTTTTGCATATATTGCCGAGAAGATTAATCATACCGACGTTAGATCTCAGGAAATGGCATATCTCATAGTTTTCATCAGCAAAAGTTGCCATGCCATGCTAAGGCCCCAGTCTTGTATAAATTTGTGTTCTCGCAAAATTTACAGCAAAACAAATATGGTTTTATAGTATTTAAAAAGAAAAAGTGAAACATATTTTACATTTGTTTAAAGTGTAGGATTTGATATTTTGAAACTGTTTTTTTTAATTTCATTTTCGTGTTTAAATTAATAGCTCTATTAGGCGTTAAACATGCCTACGAGTATGTTTAGGTTACAAGGTCTTATTAAAGCCTCTGCTATGTTCGAACTATAACAATATCAAAAAAATATTCAAATCACATTTATTTACATATTGTCTATAATAATCTGATCTGGTCACTTTTTTATAAATGCTTTAATTCTCTTATTTCAAATAAGAAAATTAAAGCATTTATAAAGGGCTAAAAAGTTGCAATTTCATGATTTTTTTTCTGCAAATATCTATTTTTTTCTATTAGAAATATAAATGTAGCAAAGTTCTACTTAAAACGACAAAAAATATAACTATTTTGAAGTGAATTAGAAATAAATTAAATATAAAAAAAAATTATATTTTCGTACTTTTTACCTATATTCCATTTATATACCAGAAACGCCTGAAAATTCTCTCAGTTCCGCTGGGATTTCTCGACGTTCAGACGTATGCAGTGTTGCTTAATGTTACTTTACTTCTCGCTCGCACGGTTGATCTCTTTCCCTCGCGCAGCTCTTGTGGACTGAGCGGAGCATATCGTGAAAATTGCTCTACTTAAATATATATTATTTTTATTTAATTGTCATATTAATTCTGGGTTTTAGTGTATTTGTGTTTATATTAGTATTAGATTAATTGACTTGGACTTTTATATTTGGAGAATTTCAAAATATTATCCTTGTGTCAGTAAAAAGAAATGTAGCACAAGAGTTGAAGTGATGAGTGAAGAGTTTTGGGAAACAAAAATGCTGCTCCGTTTGTCAAAGTTTTATTACAGTTGTGTGCTAACAGAATTAATTTATTCGCACCTTGAACGTTCCATACCGATAAAAGACCCATCTTATATAATAAAAGCAATAGAAAATAAAAATAAAAAACATAAAAAATCCCAAAAAAGTTATCCCCTACACAATATTACACCACTCAAAAAAATTCCCTTACTTTTAATGATATAACAAACTAAATAAATAAGTATATGTGTATTGTGTTATTTTTTTGTTCGATTTTTTATCAACTGCCTTCTATGTTACTTCCCTATACTATTTCTCTTTAAAAAAAAATAGGTACAAGAAAGGAGCTGGAATCATAGAGCTGAACCACATTTAATCCAAAAACAATTGAAAATAGAAAAAAAAATTACTGATTCTGCATACAAAATATAAAAATAATACAAAATGTAAAAATTAACAAGATATATATTTAATGAAGTAGAGCAACCTTCACCTATGATCTCGAACGTATTTATGCACGGGGGAGAGCGCCCCCTTTAACGGCTGGGAATGTAAAACAGCAAAGCTAGACGGAAGCCTTAAAGACTTTATTTGCTTTTTTTGTTAGAAAATATGCGTATTTTGCTGGTTTTATAATTTGTGTGCTCTTCATACTGATTGTTTATCGTTAGATCCGAAAGTCTATTATTTAGTAAAGAAATCTCTTCTCTTACTTTTTGTTTTGGTTTTGTAGTTCGACGCACATGGTTTCAAGTTCTTTTTATTTTAAAAATATTTTCTTGTTTACTTATCATTATCTTCGCCGGCGTTATATTTTTTCGATAAAATTTAACTGTTTCCTTTTATGCGCTTAGGGACCTTATTTTCAGTATTTAATAGTGTGTTGGGTGAACTGCAAATTGTTTCTAGCTTCTTAATTTTTAATTCATAATTTAAAAAAAAATTTCATCCAACATACTATTTACGGCAAGTAATTTTTCGATTTCAGCATTAACAGATCCTAATTTTTTTCTAACTCTTTTTTTTCTCTTTTATTGTATATTTATAATTATTATAGTAATTTTACTTGGTTTAGGATCAATGTCAAGATAACTTTGATTCAACTTAACCGATTTGTTCATGCAATTTTCATTGTCGGTGTCGATTTCATCTTCAGAGAACGTTTGAAATGAGTTTTCAGTTGAAACATTTGCTATGATCCTGTTGCGCATTGTTATATATTTTTCAAGGTAAGTAAAGTTAATTTTTAGAAGGTACTGTAACCGAAGATATTGGTTTTTGAATATTTTTCTCTAAAGCCGTCCGATAACTGTCGCACTTCCATTTTTTTGCTTTCTTTGTTAATTAAGCTGAATAAAGGATATGAAATATTTGCACATTCTAGGTCAAATATCTTGTTACAAATTGAACATATCATAGATTGTCTCCTACATTTTTATTGCATTTGCACAACTCTCCATCTTCAAGTGCCCTCTAGTGGCGGCCTACAGTACTGCTTTGTATTTAACTATTATAATGTTAATATACTATATTATATACATATTATAACCAATCGGTCACCGCCAGGTAACATTATTCATTTGCTTATGGCAGTTTTTTTCTGGTGTTTGTGTATAGGTGTCACTAGTGGTAGACATTCAAGAACAGCTGATTCGTCAATTGGTTTTGTTCACATTTGTTTTTAAAAGTGCAAGCGGATGAATTGACGACTTGATGATGAGTTTTAACTGTTTAATAAATGCTTAATCACTGACCTTCTCTTATAATAATTTGTAGTGTCGCCGTTAGATGGAGCCTATAACTATATTGATGGAACATAATGCTCCTGCATTATCTTTTGATCGAGTGAAGCTATTGCGTATAAGATGGTGCTGTTAGGTTCAATATTATAAAGGTTTGTTTTTAAATATTACTACTAGTCCATTTATGATTCTTTTTTGTTACTATTTCACAATTCAAACATTTTTCGTTAATTACACTTTACACTTTTTCACGTTACACTTAGTACTTTGCGTAGGTTTTTACTATAAAAGTTTGTTTTATTGACGCGGATTTTAAATTAGAAAAATGTTTTTAAATTATTATTACATAAATGTTTTTTTTTTCATATGAAATAATATTTTTGCTTTTTGGTTAGCGCTCGCTGTAAATTTCACAATTCGCGAGCAGACCGGGTTCGAACCCCGCCGGCACCAATGAAATTGTTAATTGAAATTTTAAGTGCTGATTTAACACGTGCTCAGCGGTGAAGGAAAACATTGTGAGGAAACCTGCATATCTGAGAAATAAGAAAAAAAAATATTTCGAAGACATGTGAAGTTCGCCAACACGCATTGGGGCAGCGCGGCGGACTATTCCTTGCCCTAAAACCATCTCAGAAATGAGAGCAGGCCTGTGCCCAGCAGTGGAACGTATATAGGCTGAACTTTAACTTTTAACTTTAATTCACAATCACTTAATATTTCTTTAAGATAACACTTGCAATAATAGTTTACATACCTATTACTTTGTAATGTAAAAAAAAGGAATGAAATTATAATTTACTATATATTTAAAGTTAAAATAACACGAGAGCTGATGTGAACTTGGCAAAGCGCCCTCTGTCCAATTGATCTCTGTCTCTATATAACCACAAATCTTTCAAAAAAACAGTTACAATACCTTTTGCATTTGGCGGCTGCCACAACAGTGAGATTGGATACATAGTCAACAGGAATAAGGTCTAAAACGTTAGTTCTTCTACTAAGAAGAATACGATTAAGACCTTTTGCTACGGTAGCAATGAGGGCCGTTGCACCGAACCAGTTATCCAGCCATCCTGGCATTGGTTCATATAAGCTTGCTGATACTGAAATTAAAAATATAGTTCTTTACAATTGCCGAAAATCCATGTAAAAGTAAAAATAATTTGCATATAAAATACGTCTTAATAATGGGCACAGTCTACGTCTTATTTCTGAGAGTTATGGATTAATTAGTCCTCCTTGATTTATTTTGTTAAAATCAGCAGTAAAACTCCCATAATTTCATTTGCAATCCCACACAACACACAACCGGGATTGCACGCGTAATGTAAAATGTACAGGGAGTACTTAGCCCTTGATCTATCATTTATCTCAATCAATAAAAATTTATAAATATTTGGGGCTGTAGAACTTATACGGTAATATTATTTACAATCACAGCACACAGCATTTTTATAGCTTCATAACACATAATACGAATAACAATTTTGATTTAAAATTAATTAGTTTTAATTGTAAGTGTTTTAAAAGATGCATTGACCCTGTAAAAGTGCTTTGTCAAAGTGCCGATATTATTGTACTACAAGAAACTTGGCTCCTGCCTTACGATTTACTGCAATAACCAAATTCGTTGCTTGTTTTACCGGAACATGGTAAAACAAACAACGACTTTGGTTTTTGCGGTAAACCAGCTGTGGGCATGTCTAGTGGGATACTGCGTGGGCAACCGTATGGCGGCTTAGCACTTTTATATATATATATATATATTAAATTATTATATAAAATCAGTAAGTTTAAGTGATTCTGTGATTCCGTGTGACAGTAATCGAATAAGTGCGATTAAGGCATGCTATGTATGCTATGTGTATGCTAAGCAAGGCTAGTACTTATTGTCACTGTTTATATACCTACAGACTCATCGGACAATCTCTTACAGTATGTTCAATGTTTAAGTGAAATTGCTTCTATAGTTTAGAGTTGTAATATCGAAACTGTATATATTTTGGGAGATTTTAACGCTTACCCCGGGGAATTGTTTGCAATGAACTTCTAGAATTCTGTAGTGAACAAAACTGGGCATGTGTGGATATTAAAATGTTAGGTGTAAATTCCAATACACACACTTTTGTTAGTGAAGCGCACGGCAGCCATAGATGGCTTGATGATGATGATACTGAGGCTGCACTGAGCAAAGTGCTATCGGTAAAAGTACGTTACGGTGTTCACTGATCACTTCCCGCTAGATATTCAGTGCAACATAAAATCAGTCAGACTATTGAGTTGCCGCGCGCTAAAGGTTCTATGGAAAGAAAGGGACCTAAGCCAAATAGAAATGTTTACACGAAATATTGTAATGATAATCTGCGAAAGTTGGTCTTTCCACATGAGTTCGATCAGTGTGGCGATTGTTTGTGTAGTAATAGCGACGCGGCACACTTGCCCGCGATAGACTCGCTTTACAGTGATATCATAACAGCGTTGCATGAGGCTGCTGTGGCCAGCTATGTTGGTCGTTCGGGTGATGGCAAACCACATCGCGGTCGACCTATTGTAGGTTGGAACAAGTATGTCCGTGACGCTCACAGGAACGCTTAGCAAAAGTATCTAACCTGGGTAAGTTACGGTCGGCCAAATAGTGGAACCATTTATAATGAAATGTATGATTCGAGGAAAATTTTCAAAAGCAAGTTAAAGTATTGTCAGAATAATCAGGAGCAAATAAAAATGAATATTTTAGCTACTAAACACAGAAATAAGATTTTAGGGGATTTTGGCAACAAACAAAAAAACTAAGTTCAAAGCCTAGCGTCCACGTGAGTGTTAACGGCATCAGCGAACCACGGGATATAACGAAATGTACAGATGTCACTTTTAAGTTAAGTCTTCGTTGTAAAGTGCGCAGGTTGTAGATGAAGAGGTCGTGTCGTCGGGGGTGCCGGACCGCGTCACAGCTAAGCAAGTTGCTATAATAATAAAAGGAATGACGGGAGGGAAGTCTCCTGGACACGATGGCCTTAGCATTGAACATTTTCGCTATGCGCGTTCGTTCGTTTCACGCTATGCATTAGGCATTCCTATCTGCCAAATGAGCTAATGAAGACATTTATTGTGCCTATCATTAAAAATAAAACTCGTAACACTTCTGACAAGTGCAACTATCGCCCGATATCATTAGCTACAATCACATCTAAGGTACTTGACGGCCTGCTTGAGAGACAACATAAAGATCATTTCCATCTTCATGACGCTCAATTCAGATTCAGACCAGGACTTTCGACTGAATGCGCAATCATGTCACTCAAGCAGACTGTTAGGTACTACACGGATAGGAACACGCCTGTGTATGCAGCCTTTCTTGATCTCACTAAGGCATTTAACCTGGTGAGTTATGATATTCTTTGGCGTAAATTAAAAGACACAGGTATGCCGGGTGGGTTGATCTATAGAATACTATAATACTCAATAGAATGGCTGTCAACCTTACTTTGTAGGTGGATTGTCGTCACCGGGACCACCCTCAGTAATATCAGTTATCACGACTACAAACACATTTAAGACTTTTAATTAATATTTTTGACACATAAATATTTGTATATTTTTGCTTCTAATATTCACAAAATATAAATAGTTTCGACTTACTGGTTATAGAATATGTTATGTAATTATGGCACAATTTACCATTTTTTAAATAATTTGCATGGAGCGACGCTTGACACAAAAATTGGAGACGATTGATTGTGTTGACATCTATACGTGTGAGTTGACGCGTTAGTGACATACTAGTGGCTACACGGGCACCGCCCACTCCCCCGTTCTATTATGTATGTTTTATAGTATTCTATGGGTTGATCAATGTTTTCAAATATTGGTATGAACACCAAACAAACCAGGTCAAATGGCTTGGTGAGCTTTCTGATGAGTACGGGTTGGAGTGTGGAGTGAGACAGGGGGGCTAACGTCTCCTCCTCTCTTCAAATTGTATGTGAATCGTTTGATTGTTGAGCTAAGCGACATAGGGGTCGACTGCTCGATTGATGGTCATTGAATCAATAGTATCAGTTATGCAGATGACATGGTGTTGCTCAGCCCATCAATTGCTGGTCTCAGAAAACTAATAGGTGTATGTGAAAAATACGCTTTGTCACACGGTCTCCTGTACAATGTTAAAAAGAGTGAGCTCTTGATCTGGGAGATGTACGGCGTGTGCTGCTAAATCGCATCGCTCTACGCGGGGTGAAAGAATTTTAATATATCGGCCATGTGATTACCGAGGATTTAAAACACGATGCCGGTATCGAGAGGGAAAGGAGAGCGATGGCGATCCGCTGTAATATGTTGGCACGCAGATTCGCGCGGTGTAGCTTTGAAGTAAAGATAACTACTACTAACTCTTCAAAGCCTTTTGTCAAACTCTATACACCTGCAATCTGTGGGTCTATCACACGCAGCGGGCCATCAACGCTCTCCGAGTACAGTATAATAACATATTCAGGGTGCTGGTGGCGCTCCCTCGCTGCTGCAGTGCGTCTGCGATGATTGCACAAAGCCGTCCGTATGGCTTTCACGCCGTGCTGCGGAGCCGCATCATCTCGCTGATGTTCCGTACGCAGGGGAGCGCCAACACCATCCTGAACGTACTCAGCAACAAGCCTGACTGCTCTTTTCCGCGGCACACACGGCGGGTAGAAACACAAATGCATGTGCCCGGTGCCCCAAAGGGTGGCACATATTTGAATTTAATACCTACTTTAATTACTTTGTAAATTAACATCATTGTAGTAATTATTATTCAGAATTTTTTTATGTTAAATTGAATTGAATTTAATTGAATAAGATTAATTAAAAATAAATAGGTAGATTACATTTGAATTGAATTGAATTAAATTAAATAAGATTAAATTTATAATAAGGTATGTCACTTAAATATGGACTTGTCTGAAATAAATTGATTTTATATTATTTTTTATTTATAATCATAGCCCGTAATTCTGACGGTATTTAACGAAAATAACCATTTTTCAAATAAAACTACTTGAGAAATAAGTATCCCATTTTCAAATATATCAGTAAATATTACCCTTACGGTGGTATATAGTTTAAAACAAATTCAAAAAAGAAAGTTTAACATCTTTTGATATTATCCTATTTGTATGATATATGTAGCTAAATTATTAAAACACGTAAACAGTTTGCAGTGAACTGGACTTTATTCTTTAAAAAGTTTTATAGAAGGAAATAATAGATGGCACTACTGGTACTGTCTATCAATTATTTAGTGACGTTTTGATACAAATATTGACACCCCCACTTATCAATAAACTTAATACTTATACAGATTAACACATAGAAACAATGACCAGGAAATCCATAAAAATATAATGTTTTAAGGGACATGACATTTTGTCAGTGTCAGCAGGCATTTCCTCGCTAGGTATATATTTAATTGTGACAAATTTGTACTTTACAACATCTCGAATATAATGATGACGTACATCTATTTATGACTTTGATTAGTTAAAGCTAAAACAAACACGTGAACTGGTGAATAATTGTTGGTGTATTATCTATCACTGTCTTTTTATTTGGCTTTGTCGACCATCCGCCATATTTCTTCTACTATGTTGCCGGAGGAATATTTATTTTTCGCTGCGAATGCTTTGCCACTACATTCAAAATCACTTGTAATCTCTATATCGGTTTTTTTTTTACTTTATGATATCTGCAGTTATCGAAATACTCGAATGTTCTATTGCCATTATCATTAGAGAATAACGATTGGCTAACCTGCAAATAATAATTACTTGCAGCAAACTACCCATTCATTTGTTCTGTTACCTATTGTAAATCCCGTGCCGTTTAACCGTTGAGCCGTTTAGATCATTTGTGTGATATAGGTAGCCATCGAGTCACAATTTTCTAGACTCATAGATATCAAATGTCGAAGCAAGGTTATTTAGCTTGAGAAACCAGAGTTATCAAACATGGCCTTTAATTTATTCCATAATTCTTCTGAGCTCCAGGTCGATCGTTAATATTAACTTTGTCTTCGTTTTTGCGTCGTCTACTGACTTTACTTCAAAATCTGGCATTGGTTTGATGTACTTGTCCATTCCTTCTAGCACCAACAAGTTTCAGCCGCAAAACACCACTCATCGTAATTCTCCCTTCCTTTAAACTTCGTCACACTAGCAATGTAGTTTGTAGTCATATTTCCGCGAAACAACGTACACAATTTATATATATTACAAAATAAAATAACTGATAAATAAATAAATAAAAAGTATTTATTTGCCACACAAAAATACAATGTTAAAATTTAAATAGCTTATTAATTAGTTGTGACAAAACGGTCTGTGACTCAGTTGTAACGGGAAACCCATTACTCCTGCTATTCTGCCACAGCCTTTGCACTTAATTCATACAGGGCAATTGATGAAACATACGTATCAACAATAAATAAGTAAAAATAAAAATAAAAATATAAATAAAACAATTATTAAGTTGTAGTTGCTAAATACAAAAAAAAGTTGTCTGATTTGGGGGGGGGGGGTATCAAAGCCACATAGAGCCATAAATTGAGAAAGGCCCACAATCTATTAAAACACGTGAACAGTTCGCAACAGACAGGACTTTATTTTTTTAAAGTTTTATAGAACGAAATAATAGATGGCGTTACTATTTATCAATTATTTAGTGACATTTTGTTACAAATATTGACATAAATCATTATTACATACCAATAGACGGTCTGATGATTATTGTAGGAACGTCACCATGTTCTCGACTTACGAGGCTTTCCGCAACTGCTTTAGCATAGGTGTAAGTATTAGGTCTGCCACCTGAAATAACACCAAAGCAGTTATATTTCAGAACTGCTATTTCATAAGTTTTTAATTTTGTAAGTAATTATTTTATTTTAAAAATGAAATTCGGAATCATTATTCGAAATGGACGTTTTCTTCACATATGAGTTAGAGTTGGAGTGTCGTCTGTTATATCGAAATAACTGACTTCTATTAAGGTTAGGGTGTAATCCAAATAGCACGTACTAACATGCAAGTAGCTATTAAGACATGAAACTTTTAAATTTTATTTCTGAACCGATTGTGATGAAACTTCACGGCTTTTTATTGAAACTTCAACATTTTGTTCAAAACATGCAGATAATTTTGTAAAATCTGAAAATGTGACACAATTTATGTTATTTATGCGTATCTCATAAACTATAAAAGTTAAAGTTAAAGTAGTTATAAGTAGTTATAGTCTATATACGTCACACTGCTCGGCACGAGCCTCCCCTTATTTCTAAGGGCGTTTTGGGACAAGGAAATGTCCGCTACAATGCCCTAATTTGTGTTGGTGAATTTAACATGTTTTCGAAGTATTATTTTTTCTTATTTCTCAGATATGCAAATTTCCTCACTAGGTTTTCCTTTACCGTCAACCACGTGGTAAATCAGCACTTAAAATTGCAATTAACAATTTCATTGGCGCCGGCGGTGATCGAACCCGGTTTGCTGGCGTACTGTGAAAATTACAGTAATATTACAATTACTAACCATCCGAGCTACCACGGATCTTCTGGGCTACCACGGCTATACGGTTAACTATAAGACATTTGAAATTGTTTACATAAAAAGTAATATATAGTTACCCTAAGTTATGATGCAAAATAGATTTTTAACTTCTCACTTTAACCTCATTTTACAACAAAACTATGAATGTTAAAGAATAAGTCGATAAAGCCTTTTTAGTAATATTAATAGATTCTCAATTTTAATTTTACATATGCAATATCGCAGATACTTCTCGAGATCACAGCAAATAGAGAAAAACTTAGTTTAAGTCGTTTGATCATAATTGAAACGCCCATAGACCTTAATTAGTCGAGAACGTCGACGCGAATGAAGTCGCAAGTCATAGGTAGTTTCAAATTTCTCTCATAATATTATTATGAATTAAATCGCTCTCACAAAATATTGGCATCATATTCAGATTCTTCATCTGTAAAGTGACGAGAACTGGAGACCCTTTTCTCTGGTAACGAGACACTTCATCATTGAAGATAGATAACATCTACAAGCATTGTAGGAAATGGGTGACAGGCAGCAGCATCTTCCTGACATCAATACAAAATAATAAAAACTGTGTTTGTAGACTTGCTTGGTAACCGTGGTATCTATGGTGAAAAATCCTTTGAGAAAATCCGTGGACGAGGCCTATGACCAACATCAGGCTTTTGATAGAACTTAAATTAGATATTAATTTATTAAGAAATTAACGTTATAATTTTGCTTACAAAGAAGTTTTTTTACTTGATCTTCATTGATTACTTCCTGTTGTAGAATTCCGTATACATCGTCAATTGAAGCAGGAGGTGGGTATATAATTTCTTCCAGAACTTGTTTATCTGTGTTAGAATAAGCCGTAGATACGTACACGAAAACCTTAAATAAAAAATATTATGACTGCAAAATCTTAACTGTTCTATAATTAAATATACTCTGTAATTTATTTTTTGTGACATATTTATTACAAATATTTGAATTATCTTAAATTAAGGTGAAGTAACAGTTTCTATTATATAGGTTAGAACCCACAGCTGAGTGCCAGACATTTTTTTTTTCAGAGAATTTTGGCTGACTAACATTTCTTTTAAATATATTACTCCTCAGTCACGTAAGTTTTCCAACATAGTTCTCTTTCATCACAGATAACATGGTAAAACAGCACTTAAAATTGCAATTACATTGGTGCCACCAGGTAACGAAACCGAGTTGCTCAAGTTATATGAAACTTACAGCAAGATTAAGGTAAAATTAACAAATCCATCATGCATTATCAAATACTACATCAGCGACCAGTTACGGGAGAGCAGAATCAAAGACGTCTGATACTGCGATCATAACGAGCATCCGCCTGCCAAAGTTAACGATCATGACAAATCTTCCTTACAATGTGAAATATCTATGCCATGAACTGTAACGGGATAATCAAGCTAAGAAAGTTGCAATTTATGGTTTTTGATATGAACAATTTTAAAGAGAAACGAAGTTAATTTGATATTATCCACATGCAAAATGAAATGGTGTGTATCGTCATAATAGACAATAGGTATATACCCAACAAAGTAGCTTCGCTTATCTTCATTATGATTGAGATATTATTTAAAGTGCTGTTTGATTTTAATAGCTAGGTATTTGATTGCAAAATGAAATGGTGTGTATCGTCATAATAGACAATAGGTAAATACCCAACAAAGTAGCTTCATTCTCTTCATTATGATCGATATATTATTTAAAGTGCTGTTTGATTTTAATAGGTATTTGATTACTAAAACTGTATATTCATTGTCACAAAACGGCTATTATCATTTAAGATTATAATGCTTATTATCAGATTTTTTTATACGTGAGAGGGCAAACGAGCATACGGTTCACCTGGTGTTAAGTGACTACCGCCGCCCATGAACAACTGCAACACCAGGGGAATTGCAGCTGCGTTGCCGGCCTTTTAGAAAGGAGTAAGCTTATTTCTTCAAGGTCCCTAGGTCGTATCGCTCCGGAAAAATCGTCGGTGGTAAACAATTCCACAGAGAGGTCGTGCGCAGAAGAAAACGTACAGTGGTGGACCGCCAAGCATCTAGATAGTGTGGATGGTATCGGGAGGTTTGCCGCGTAGTGCGTTCATTAAATATGGAGGAGCCCCAGCCCAGAGATGGGAATAGTATTCCATGTAAAGTCGAACTTGCGTCTAATAAAGTTGCAGGCGCTGTGCCGGCATGAAATACTGTCCCGCTTTGCTGAGCATGCCAAGCTTTTTAGTGGCCAATTTGGCCTTCTCTTCCAAGTGACCACGAAACTGCACGTTACTCGATATGTCGATGCCGAGGATTCCGATACTGGCTGAGGCATCATGGGGAGTGACTTGAAACTGAAGAGATACGACAAAGGGGTTCTGTTTGGTGATTAACGCGCAAACTTTTGTTTTCTGAGGGTAAACTGGACTAGATTTAGTTGCCCTCAATCCGAGACTTTGTTCAGCAAAGACTCGACTTCAGACGCAAGTTTGTCCCGGTACTCGGAGACGTTTTGCCGAGAAATATTGGCACAGCCGGTGTACAGAACATCACTAGTGCTATCATCCGCATAGCAATGAATGTTACCGGTTTGCAACATATCAGTGATATGAAGAAGGAATGCGTTGGTGATGCACGCAGTCTTGTGGAACGCCAGCATTAACAGGCTTGTATTCGGAGTATGCACCGTCTACAACGACCTTGATGCTCTAATCTGCAAAAAAAACTGGTGATCCAATTGCACAATTTCTCGAGAAGCCGATAGAAAGGGAGCTTCGAAAGAAGCGCTTTGTGCCAAAACCGATCGAAGGTCTTTGCAATGTCCAAACTAAAGCCCAATGCCTCCCCTTTGGACTCTACTGCCTTCGCCCATCGATGGGTCAGGTAGACTAGAAGATCACCAGCTGATCTACCTCAACGAAAACCGTATTGGCAGTCACTAATCAGCTGGTGATCCTCAAGGTACCGCATGAGTTGGCAGTTTATAATGGATTCCATTATTTTGGAGAACAAGGAGGTGATGGCGATAGGCCTATAGTTTGACGGATCTGAGCGGTAACCTTTTTTGGGGATCAGGTGGACGAAAGCCGTCCTTCATGATTTTTGGAATATGCCTAGGTAGTAGAAGTACCCGAAAAGACGCGTTAGAACCGGTGTCAACTCTGGAGCACACGTCCTCAGCACAATTGGGGAGATTCCGTCAGGCCCACTCGACTTGTGGATGTCCAGGGACTTTGCGTTGGTGTTTACATCCCGGGACGTTGATGAATCAGCCCAAGCCCGTTAGCACTCCTGCTTACAGTATGATGATTTTTTTACAAGAGCGTCTAAACCGTGGCTGAGATTTGTCTCCGATGGGTACCACAGAGGAAGGAATAAAATGTTCCATACCCTGAAGCACCATATCAGCGACAGAGACAGCAACAATGTTGGGATTGTCATCCAGAAGCAAACCAGCTCCCAAGGGTAGGATGCAAATAAAGATCACTTCCTATCCCAATCGGCTTAACTATAGTGCCAAACACGGCGGCAGCCTGTAGAATGCAACCGCGATTTGAGCGTGAGTGGAACCACACTCCAATATAAAGTAACCTCCGAAGGCGAAGTAACCAGTTGTATCGGACCATACGCCAAGGCAAAATCGGGAACAGATCTCCCCGCATGATCGATTAAACGTGAACCAAGCCATTCGGCGTGGTGGGCGTTAAAATCGCCAAGGGTCACTATCTCTGCGGAGGGGATCTGCTGTAGGTACTTGAATCTGTAGCCATTTGGACGTGGTCGAAGAGTCGGTCTGTTTTCGCATTACCGCTATGGGACCTATAGAGACACTCGTAGACGCGCTGATGGTCGTCGCTGTTTACCCGTAGCCAAAGGACGGACAGGTCCGAACCTTCAAGACTGCCGGGGCGTCGGGGACAGATGTCCTCTCTGACATATAAGTAAACTCCAGCCCGAGGCACAAAGGAGTTTTTCAGTTTGTACCCCGGGTAGGAGAGATACGAAGCATCAGCCGGAGAGGACACCTTTGTTTCGGTCAGAAAAAGCAGAGCCAGCTTTGCCGTCTCGAGATGGTAGTGAACGGCGTTTAGTTCGAGTAGTCTCCTGATATTGCAGAAATTCACGGATATCATGGCAGGGGTCGCCTTGGTATTTTAGCTCAGCTTGCCCCTAGCAGTTGTTGTCTTGAGCGGAATTTTACCCCCCCCCCCCCACTGGCAGCCGGAGCAACCACATTCAGGAGTGGAGTAGGTTGGTCGTGGATGCTCAGCGAGGGACTCTCGGATTCTCCAAGGGTACTGGTACCCACCTGGGGTAGTCTGAGTCTAAGATTATATTTTTTATATTTCTCTTACTTCGATATTTTTCAAGCGCTGACACAAATTTAACACACTCCTTGTTCCTTCCACGTTTACATTCATAGCCACTTTCAATGTTTCATCAAATTTGACGTTTGCCGCAAAATGAAATACGTGGGATACCTGAAATACAATCACTATAATTGAAATATTTCATCACTGTATATTAAATAAGCTTGACACAGATTCATCTTGTCTCTCAGATTCAAAATTCCACTTTACGGGCAACATAAAACACAAATGTACCACCAGCAATCCACAACGGAATATGGGTTTTATTTAAGTTGCTTCAGTAGTCACAGGTAGGAAAGTAAAATAACGAAATGGTTTAAGAGTATATTGAATACTCTTAATAAATACTTTTGCAATAAGCTAAATTTAATTTTTAAATTTAATTGTTTTATTACCTTTTCTATTAACATTTGTTCGTCTTCATGGCTTATACCAAGGTTAGGCTGTGCTATATCTCCAGATAAAGGCACAACCTTTTCAAGATCTTCCCTTCTTTCTTTTCTAAGTCTATCAAACAACTGTAAAATAAGTTTTGAATAATTTTTCATTATCAATGTTATACAATTTAAATAATGCACATAAATATGTGAAAAAGACAAGGAAGTACGCGATCTATCTGAGTGTTATAGATTTCTAGATACCAAGTCTAGTTTACTAAGTGGAAGTGGCGTAAGAGTAAACAAAATCTCATACCGCTCATGGATAACATCAGAGGAAACTATAAAAAATCCCAGATAAAGTTCATAGCCTCCGATATACGACGGTATACAATCTCGCATATTACATATTCGCTTTGTCTCAGCACCAGCTTTAGAATGTTATAAACTATTTTATTCGTTTTAGGTGGTTCTTTTAATTTAATTTCAGTTTTTTTTTTAAATGAGTAAGCTCTTTTCTTGAATGTCCTTAAGTCGTATCGGTCCGGAAAAACCGCCGGTGGAAAACAATTCGACAGAAAAGTTGTACGAGGAAGAAAACTCTTAGTAAAACGCACAGTAGTAGACGTGTAAATTAAGTATCCAGATGGTGAGGATTGTATCTTAAATTTTGACTTGATGTGCATTCATGAGATTTGGCGGCTGGGATTAATCCGAACAATTCCTCAAGGCACTTCCCGTGCGATAGAAAGTGCAAAGGGATGCAACATTTCTACGCAGCGCCAGTGAATCGAGCCGATTAAAAAGAACTTAGTCGTCGACGATTCGAATCGCTCTGCGCTGGATGCAGTCAAGTGGAAGGAGCTGGCATTGGAGTGCCTCGGCCCAGAGATGAGAACATTATTCCATGTGAGGCCGAACTTGCGCTTTGTAGATTTGTTAGCGATGTGCCGGCATGAAATATTGTCTCGCTCTGCTTAGGACGCCATACTTTTTTGTTAAAGGCACGAAAAAAGATGCCATTGGGAAGACTTGTTGCACAGGTATGTTATAGATAAAAAAGATAGGAACCAATTATGTGTGTGTAGGTCATTTTTTTAAGTCAGTATACCGACAACTGTTTTAATGATATAATGAGATAATGATTTCTTAAATTTACGCGAACACTACACATTGAATAAAACTAAATTTACGGATTTTATCGCGTTTATTTCATTAGTTTATAAGTAATAGTAGTGAAATAAACGCGATAAAATCCGTAAATTAAGTTTTATTCAAGATATAATGAGATAATTATTATTATTGATCAGTATAGCATAACGAATTATTTGTTCGTAGCTGGATCAGGTTGACTGCAATTGATTATGAAGATTTCGTTAGCAAATTTAGCACCGATTTTAATGTTTATGAACTTCATTTATATATGCTAGTGACGTGGAAAGTTGTTCTAGCAAATCGTTAGCCTCTAGTCTAAGTTTGTTTGTTTATTGTTGCACGTTTTATTACTTCCCATGTGTGTGTGTGTGTGTGTGTGTGTGTGTGTGTGTGTGTGTGTGTGTGTGTGTGTGTGTGTGTGTGTGTCAGGTTTTCTTATGCATTTTAAGAAAGAGTTACCCATGGCTTTATTGCTGCTTTACGTACACTGTAATATTTTATCGTTATTTTACAGTGCTTTTGATAGAGTTGCTACTAAAAAAAGCTACTATTCGTCTGACTATATTACATATAATTAAAACATGGTAGAGTACAGTTCCATCTACAAACACGAATGAATCGACTCGGCAGGGAAAACACCACGCTCTTCCAGAAAAAAGATGAAAAAAATGGCAACTTAATATTGTATTTTTCGTATGGGGAGGTAGGAGGAGGAGGTTCATTGATGACGAGGATATTACAACCGACGTGGTGGTCCAGTATTCCAATTCCAACCATAGGCAACATTTGCGCAAATATAATAACTGTCAGTGCCTCAAATTGTTCGAGAATTTTTTTCTTTCGTCTAACAAAAATGTTAAAAGTTTGAAGTAATATTCCTTTAACTCACCGGTAGGCGCAATAACTGCTTAATTCTTTCATTAGCGTCCGTTTTGTTTTTGTCTCGTATCAATAGAAAAATTTTGTCAATTTTTGGACAGCTGTATAATAACTTTTCGACAAAAACCTAAAAAAGAAAAATGTGTTAATACTCGTATTTGCAATATCATCATATTTCGGCTCAAAAAATAGCTACCAATAGAGACGACCTCTCATTTTTGAGATGGGTTTCGGAGCAAGGAAGACTCTGCCTCAATAAACCTTTGCGAGTTGAAAGACTGAATAATCTCATATCTTTTTATAACTCTGCAATTTTCCTCGTGATGTTTTGCTTCAAGGCCAAGCACGTGTAAATCAGCATATAGATCGCAATTATAATTGATTGTTCCGGTAGGATCGTACTGGATTTGCTCGCATACTATAAAATGGAACACTGTGAAATATCCCGAGCTAGCAAAACTCAATCCAACATTTAAATCACAATATTATGAATACACGTATGTATAAAAAACGTAAAGTAATGGAAATTTATTCTGAGGGGCTTTAAAATTGGAACCTTATTCCGAAATATTTAGTGGAACCGTGTTTATGAGTGATTTTCTAACGCTTTCTTACCACAAGACAATCATCAGTAAACATTTACCATCAGGTGAGCCGTATGCTCGTTGGCCTCATATTTCATAAAAAAGAGATCTGTTACATTGGTAACACAATTTTCCGTGGTTTACTCATCAAAGGGGTAGTGTAAAGTGTATTAAATGTCAAAAAATTATCGGTTCATCGTCCGTGCTTGTCTGATGCGTGTATCACACATTTTGAACCCAGTACACATGAGTTTTTTTATTGTGTTCTTACCGCTATTTCGGTACTGCTTGTGTACCACTTTAGGTTACACTTTTGCAAGTTTGTTTTCAAAGCAAATTAAGGTAAAAATAATTAATAAAGATTAATATTCGCCAAAACAGTTTTTAAAAGAAAATTATAGGAACCTATTAGTAGCCTACAAAGCTGAGTCAACTTGCTTTCTATGTTTATCTCAGCACTTACTACCCGTGCGGTTAAAGATTTAGATTGAAAATGGCGTCACCTCTATTCACCTCTCGCTCGCACACTGTCACTATACTCACACGCGCCGCTAAATGCTACAAAAAAACTACGTTGCGACATTCGTTTTTCATACGTTCTTCGATAATTGATAGAATCAGGCGATACTTTGCGGAAATCGACTATAATAAAGATATTAATTAATTTTTAACCTTCCGCTAACTAAATAGAATGATGTGTCTTACCTGGATTGGATTGCTCTTCAATCCTATTTAGTTAGCGGAAGGTTGCAAATGAATTAATATCTTTATTATACGTTATTCGTTCAGCTTTAGTCTTACTTGTCATTAAAATCAATGATAATGAAATTACATAAACTAACAAGAAAACGGTTTCGCTGATTTGTGAGTTACAACGCGTTTTGTATTTTCTTCGTAGTTATTAATATATGTAATACTAGCTTGCCAGGCAAACGTTGTTCTGCCCTTTTCGACAACAATTTGTCATGTCTTATTAAAAATTCTTAATATCGCAAAAGAAATTTGTGGGCAAAAAACTACATCCTGTCTCTCAAGTTGGACCAAGCTGCACACGGTGTGCAAATTTAATTAAAATCGGTTAAGTAGTTTAGGAGTCCATCGCGGACAAACAACGTGACACGTAATTTATATAATATATTAAGATAAGCATGTTATTGAGACATGAGTAACTATTTTTTAAATTTTGGTTTGTATGTATGTCCGAGCTAATCTTCGGAATGTGTGAACCGATTGCATTAAGTTTTACCAATAAATGGAGGGTAACACACGGAGTGATCGAAACTAAATTTTATATAATATTTCGACACCAACAATTTATACTACGCTAACTCGAATTTTAGGGAAATTCGTTTTTTTATGCCAAGTTGCTTAAAATGTCTATTTTTATATGTAATAAAAAAATCGTGAAGAAATATACAAAAATAACGAAGTTACAAATCTTATACAACGCTAAGTAAAGGTACTTTTCGAAATCACTCAATTTAAATTACGCTAACTATTATTAGCGGAGTGTGCACGGGAGGGGCACGCACCGCTTGTTTGTTTACATTAATCTAACGACACTTGTCGCTGTGTTAGATGTGATTGCGCGGTTTTAAAAACTTTATAAGTAAACCATAATTCATCCAACGTTATTGTTACAATTTATTTAAAATATTGTTAGTGGTAATTTATTAATACAAAAATGTCACGAAAACGAGCTAAATATTTAGTGGATTTAGACAAAAAGGAGAAAAATTCATTGAAGAGTTTTGAAAAAATGGTGAGATACCACTTCATACTGACGAGAGAGGTAAGTTTAATGTGTTATTAAGGATTACAGTGTAGATCAAAGTATATAATTATGTTTTATAAGTAATACGCCACGTTTTTTGAAAATTTGAGCCGCTTAGCTCAGAGTCCGTGTAACACTACGTTAACACTTAGTTAGCGTAGTTTAGTGCGTTCGTGTATACTTGTTCGTTTGTAAAATGCACTACTTAGCGACTTTATCGTTGTAAATACTTATGTAAAAACGAGTGTTAATTAGTTTATTGATGGTACCTTGAGTATATTTTTAATGTACATGTTTTTTACAAAAATAATCATATGATTTCAACACATTATCCCTATTGTTATAGAATCGTCGCCATTATCTGCTGAAGTTGATAATCATGAATTCGTGGCTTTGTATAATCACGTCATGTTTGAAGAGCCTATTCAAGAGCATGATTATTCTATAGTCAGTTCTGCAAGCCGAGAATAGAAAATTACAAAAATGATGTAGTATTACAAGATATAAATTTAAATGACATGGGGGCTCCTAAAACTCCACTTAATATTTATTCACCAAATGTATTGACTTCAACCCAAAAACCTTCTCCATTGATATTAACTGCACCAATTATCGAACCTTTGTTTTCATTCGTCTCTAGTGATCCTTCTGACAGCATAGATAATACCCCCGTACCTTCACCTTATAGTGATTTTTCGGAATCTTCGCAAAGTTTAAACGGTACTTTAGCCGACTTCTTGCCAAGAAACCGAAGATAGAACACTCACACCAGAAATCAGTACGTCCGTCCAGTAAAGTCTTCCCGATTCGCTATCCCGAGTCGATATGGTTAACTGCCTCAGCAATAACACAAATTCAGTATCGGCAATATCTACTCACTGTAATTCAATTTCCTCGCCTGCAACGTTTAATTATAGTGACTATTCTGCAGTATCGACCCCAAAAAATAATAAACGTAGATCTAAAAAAAGAACTGATGTTGGTCTCAAACGTCTTAAACTTGAAGATGAGTGGATAAGTAGAAAGAGAAAACGTTTTTGTAACAAAGGATTGCAGTATACTACGTCAAAAGGGAAAACTAAAGCACCAAGAAGCATTAAAGTCAGTCGTGTCAATTGTCGTCTGCAATGCTATAATAAAATAAGCCAAGGAGTTCGTATTGACCTTTTTGATAAGTTTTGGGATACTGGTGATCACGCAAAACAATGGCAAATCATTGCCAAATATGTAATACAAAAAAGTAAAAAGACTGCCACTAATGTTGAAAGCGAATCTAGTCGTCGATCACACACTTTGCATTATCACCTTCCTATAAATTCTGACAATGGTATCATATTACAAAAAGTTTGCAAAACAATGTTCTTGAACACCTTTGATATTAGTAAAGATTTTGTGTATACTGCAATACGAAAAATCCAAGAAAACAATGATTTTACTCATGTTACTGACGACAGAGGTCGGCATAAAAACCATAACTATGTAATTTCAAATGAAATGAAACAGAGTGTCATAGATCACGTTAATTCTTTCACCCCTGTTGAGTCTCACTACGTTAGAAAACGTACGAGTAAAAAATACTTAGAACCTTCTTTATCTTTTTCTAAAATGTTTAAGTTGTATCATGAGTGGTGTTCTGATAATAATTATAATGTTAGAGTACAGACAGTAAGACAGTATAGAGATGTTGTTAATACAAATTTGATGATAGGTTTTCATTTACCAAAAAAAGACCAATGCGATATCTGTCATCAGTACAAAAATACGTCTAGCCCTACAGATGAATTGAAAGAAAACTTCACAAAACATCAAACAGAAAAAGAAATTTCCCGTAAATTAAAATTAGAATGTAAACTGTTAGCTGTCTCTAGTAACAAAGTAGTTTGTATTGTATTTGATTTTAAAAAGTTTTAAGCTCACCACATGGTAATATAAGTGTGTATTATTATAGGCGTAAGGTCAATGTATTTAATTTTACAATTTACAATATGGGATCAAAAGCAGCGTTTTGTTATATGTGGGATGAGCAAACGGCTAAGAGGGGGGGGGCTAATGAAGTGGCTAGTTTGTTTGGTTCCTTGGGCGGGGGAAAACGCGTTTTACATGCTGCTTTTTTGCCAAAAAGGGCCATACACAGAATAAAGGAGATTCAGTTCACGCTTTGATAGAAAAAACTGCAAGAGGTAGAGAGGTATATTCGCCAGATGACTGGTATTCACTAGTACGATGGGCAAAGGTCAATGGGAATCCATATAATGTTATCGAGATTAATCAAAACATGATATTTGATTTTAAAAGTAATATTAGCAAAAAAAAATTGGACAAAAAATTTAAATAACGATAAAGTTATGTGGAATAAAGTAAAAAAAAATTTAAGTTTCTCCCGATAATTACGGATTGTTGGAATATAAGTATAGTTTAGGTGATAAAGACAGCAATCAAATACAATGTTTTAAAAAGACATCTACTAGATTATCCTACTTGGAGCCTTTTCCCGAAAAAGCATACAAAACTTTGTTAAAAATTAATGTAGCAAAATATAAATATTTAAAATACTACTGTGATAATAATATTATACCTGAAAAGTGTCATACATTTTATAGGAATTTATTAACAACTGAATATGATGAGATGAATGTAAGTGATGATGAGGTTTGAATGATTATAAGTACTTAATGAATACAACACACTGTTTAAATTATTTGATTTATATTTACCACTTAGAATTTTTTGTTTTTTTATTAAGAATAATAATTATGTGCAATCTTGTTTTAAATATAATATACGAAGTGGAACTGTGATTAATCCGATCTCTTATCGTTAATAATTAATAAGTACTTACCTGAAATTTAAATAAACAGTTGATTACTATTTTTTGTTTTAATTATATATTTACCTACAAAAATAATATTATCTACAGAATTTATCAAGAATTTATAAAAATCTACATATATTATAGCTCAACGGAAAGTTAAATGATATGCTAATTTATAGCATACGTCGATGTATAGTACGCTATATATAATTTGACGATATGCGCCAGTGATGCATGGTACCGGTTAAATAAATCTAACTTTAATAACTTGTTATTTAGCATAAGAATTTATAATTATATAGTTTGTTAATGTATATAAAAACCTAAGGTTATAATTAATGCATAATATATTTTACAATTATGATTGCAAAGCAAAAAATATAACACTTCTTTAGCACTACGATCTCCCGTAATACTCTACGCTAACATTAGTTAGACGTGTGTAATAAAATCTTATTAAGGAATTACGTGTATATACGGCTAATTTGCGCTAAATCAAAGAATATAAATAATTAAGGAAAAATAAATATGGGAAATTACGATGAATAAATTATATATTAAGCATACCTAAATATATATAATAATAAATTTCAAATAAGTATCTTAATTAATAGAAAAATTATCACGTTTTTCCCTTCATATGCCTCTACTGTAAAGTTCACTTTTATGAGTTAGCTTAGTATAAATTGCTGGTGTCGATTTGGAAGATTTGTATATGCTTGGTTGTAGGTTGGTGAATAAGTTTTCGGAAAAGGTCGCCTATCAATGAGTTATAGAAATGTGTTCTATTTTAATCTTAAATTCGTTAGTAGCCAGGTCAAAGAAAACTTTTTTTTCATACTTCACATTTGGTAGAAATTTGGTTCGTATGCGAAATGGAGAATCTGGAACTTCGTACGTTTATTAAATATTTCGGTCTAAAATATTTTTGAATACAAAGTAGTTTTGTCGAACTGCTATCTACTTTGGCAGACAATGTTTCGTCTTATTCTACAGTGGCATAGGTACACTATATAGAACGCGAGTAATCCGGGTTTGATCTCCGCCGGCACCAATGAAATTGTTAATTGCAATTTTAAGTGCTGATTTACCACGTGCTCAGCGGTGAAGGAAAACATCGTGAGGAAACCTGCATGTCTGAGGAACAAGAAAAAAAATATTTTCGACGACATGTGAAGTTCGCCAACACGCATTGGGGCAGCAAACTTCCTTGCCCTAAAACCCTTTCAGAAATGAGGGGAGGCCTGTGCCCCGCAGTGGGATGTATATAGGCTGTAACTTTAACTTTACTATAGGTACACTGAATTTAAATGCGTACGGCAGAACTATCGGCAATAACGACACTCGCTCCGGGCGGCCAACAATGGCCACTACGCAGGAAAACGTAAAAAAAATCGAAGAAATTGTTAAATTAGATCATCTGTCATCATCTGTTACTTAGCTAAGTTTCTAAACCTTTCGTTTGGGACATTTCAATTTATTTTACTCACACTTTAAAATTCAAAAAAGGTTGCAGCCACGCGCTGGGTTCCTAGAACGTTAACAGGCGCCCAAAAGAAAGCAAAAAATGACATTTCAAAGCTAAATTAAACCGTAACCGTGTAACCGTAAATAAAACGTGGGTAAAATAATTGTGATCTGGAAACCAAAAACCAAAGGAAGGTGTGGAAAAGATTATCTTCCCCAAATCCAAGATATTCAACACGCCTGCGTTGGCTGGAAAAATAATGGCCTCTGTCTTTTGAGATGCGGAAGTTGTAATAATAATCGACTATTTCAATGAAGGTGAGATATAACCGGAGATCACAACGCATCTTTAATCAAAAACCTACGCAAAGAATGATAGAATAAACGTCGTGCTCGAGTGCTTTTTCATCGTGATATTGTATCGATCTGATGCTGCAGGCGCTGTTATTTGAACTGCTGGGTTTAGTTGACGTAGCACACACCATTGCACACGACACGACCTTGCTTCGAGCGTTTTTCAGTTTAAATTCGACGGCGACGATGACTTGATGTGTGCACGATGAGGTGCTATAGGGGCCTTTTTCGAGACCCACCTGCAAAGCACTATTCAAGATGTATTAGCTTAAAAGAAGAATACGTTGGAAAATAAATACAACTTAAATATACTTATCCAAGAGTTTAATTGCGTTTCTAAAAACTTATTGATCAACCTAGTATTTACGAAATATAACAATTAAGTATTAATCTGTATATGAAATAATGCAAAAATACAATTGTATTTTGTTAAAAATTGATTGACGATTGTTTATTTTCCATTGAATATTTTTGGTACGAAACTTCGTTACGATGTTTAGCGGGTCGGGATTATGTTATATAATCAATTATTCACATTACAGACACAAGTAAAGTACAGAATTCACAATTTTTTTGGTCTTGGTGTATGCTTGGGCCATAGACATCTTCATTAATCCTTGATTAAGAATCAAAAGGTAGATGCGTTGTCACCCCTGGGAACTACGATGGAATGCCTCGCTCCCTGACTTTTAAAGTGTCGTAATTATAATTTTACACATATTATATTGATAATATATTATTTACATAAAACATTATTTTTCGGAATTTCAGGAATAAAATATAAAAATATTTTATTAAAAATATTTGGTTAAAATATACGACAGTTGTCACCTGCTAACCTGTCACCTTTTTATTATGCATATGCTTTATTTTAAATAATAAAGTAGAACTGTGCTTTCCTGCGGAGGCAAGGCAAACATGGCTAATGCTCTGTCCCGGCAAGTATGTCCTATTGGAAGTTAACCAACAAAACAATAGGATATTCCGTTGGTACGGAGTGTTCATAAAGATGTATTTTACAATTTCCAAAGTGACCAAGATCTGGCTCGCCTTCTAGCTTTTTCGACTAAAGAATCTAGTCACTAGTTACACGCTGTACCATCAAGTAATCTTGACACATTGCTTTATGGGGAAAGCTAGCCTATCACCGTAGGAACCCGTCTTGGGGCGGCAATTTGTTAACCTCACCAGTGTCCCTGTGAAAATATGTTTGTCTGCTTGGTGGTACAGTTTTTTCAGCGCCACTACGGGCCGTGGGTTTGAATCTTGCATGGAATAAGTAATTGTATGACCTACAATTAATTTTTCTAGCTCTAAATGTTTGGTCATGTGCAGTTTAAGTAAGCAATACGATTATAAGAAAAAAATATATAATGTGGCGGTAACATATAAAAACAGAAATGAGCCATATTACCTTTCCCAAAAATCCTGTACCACCGGTGATGAAAACTGATTTACCAGCATAGTGTCTTGCTATAGATTCGTAAGTGTTTTCTTTTCCATCCGGATACGCCATTATCTAAATAGAACAAAAGGAGTACTAGTAATATACTTAGCAACGTAATTAGTAAAATACCTAATTAGTTTTCTTATGTCTAATATAACTATAACTCTATGTAATAGAGCCACACCGCAGCATTATTATTGCAGTTGTAGCACGTATAGGTTGGTTCTAATAGAGAGGATCACGCTCTCACAGAATTAGCTTAAAATAAGCTTAACGCTTTTGTGTTTTGCGCGGTGAGTGGAGAGAACCGGAGATTTTTTTACTGGAAAAGTGGCATTCCATCTTAGTCTTCAGGGTTCAACGTATTCCCATTTTATTTCTTAATCAAGAGTGGGGGTCATTGTAGAAGCGTGCTCGTCGCGACCCCTGCCAGCCCTTTTCAGGGCTGCAATTCTACACAGCTGCGCATCCATGCAAACGAGGGTTAGGGCGTCCCCCCAAGGCGACGCAAACCAGCTCGTCCCCGTTGGTGTGGAATGCAGCGCGCAAAGCGGCGATGGGGACCGCCACCCGTCACGCACAGCTCGACACGGCGGAAGGTGGACGACGGAGTGCAGAGTTAGCACGTGGAATGTTAGAGGGGGCATGAAAGATAAAACGAATGAGTTGATCGAAATAATGAAAGAAAGAGAATTAGATGTCGTGTGTATGTCGGAGACCAAACGGAAAGGCAGTGGTATTGAAGAGCTCCCTGGCGGGACGTCAGCTATATGGTCCGGAGTCCCGGAAAGCGAGAACGCCTGCCAGGGAGTGGGAGTGCTGTTGTCGTCCCGGTTGGTCGATCTTATGACTGAATACAAGGTTGTGAACTCAAGACTTCTCTGGGTTCGCTTCAAAATGGGACTGACGAAGTTATTCCTTTTGGCTGTTTATGCACCGGTAGCTTCGTCGTCCAGGGCTGAGCTGGAGGAGTTTTGGGAGAATGTAAGAGAAGTTCTAGATTTGGTTAAGGGAAACGAAAGAACTGTTGTATGTGGTGATTTGAATGGATGGGTAGGTATCGCTCGACCAGGATACGAGTCGGTGCTTGGAAAGTTTGACGATAAAAGGGTTAATGATGCTGGCAAGCTTATACTGGCTGTATGCAAGGAAAAGGGTCTTCTTGTGACAAACACTATGTTTAATCACAGGAAAATCCATATGTACACTAGAGAAAGAAAGAATGAGAGAAGTATGATTGATTTGTTCCTGGTGGATGACCGACTGCGAAAACAGGTGACGGATACACGAGTGTTCAGGGGTGCTGACCTGGGAACGGATCATTATCTAGTAATTACTAGATTTAGGGGTTTGTTCACGGGTTGGCGCTACCGGACGGCAGTAACAGAACCACAGTCGGTCTGTCGCATCCGAAGCTGGAAGCTTCAGGAAGCGGATACTAGGGACAAATATCACACGAGGGTAGCCGAAAAGCTTGACACCATCGATGGCAGAAAAGAATGTGTGGAGAGAACATGGCAGAACCTTAGGGATGGAATGGTAAGTGCAACGGAAGAAGTATGTGGAACTACAAAAAGAGGCAGTAGTAAGAGAAGAGATGCATGGTGGAATGATGAAGTGAAAGAAGCTGTAAAAAAGAAGAAAAAAAGCATGGTTAGACTACTTGGCCTCTAGTAACGATAAGCATATGAGAGAGAAGATGAAAGAAAGATATAAGCTGCAGAAAGTTCATGCGAAAACATTGATTGTGGAAGTACGTGAAAGGTGTAGAATAGAAGCGGACGAGAGGTTGTCGCACAACTTTAGGGAAAACTCCAAACTCTTCTGGAAAGAGGTTGGAAGGTCCCGGAGTGGTGCGACAGCTTTAAGAATGAACAAAGTGCTTTCGAGAACCAATGACGTCCTTTCAGAAAAATCGGACGTCATGCAGCGATGGAGTGAATTTTATAGAGAAATGTATGCGTGTCATGATCTTAGTGAAGGATCCGGGGGTGACGCCGTGACTGGCACGCCAGACACGGACCTCGATGACACTGAGGTCATCAGCATGAAAGAGATTGAACGTGCGATTCGAAGTTTGAAATGCGGTAAGGCTGCGGGACTAGACAGAGTTACTGCTGAAATGGTCAAGTACGGTGGGCCTCGCGTCTGGGACAGCTTTCATCTGCTGTGCAATTTGTGCTGGCGGACGGGAGATGTCCCGGATGTTTGGCGATCCGCGGTCATTGTGCCTTTATATAAAGGTAAAGGTTCAGATTTTGACTGCGGGTGCTATCGGGCGATCAGCTTGACCAGTTTAGCAAGTAAAGTTTACTCGAAGGTTTTGACACGCAGGATGCAAGAGAAATCGGAAAGATTCTTATGGGAGGCACAATGTGGATTTAGACCTGGAAGAGGATGCACGGATCAAATGTTTTCTCTCCGCATGATCACGGAGAAGCTTCTGAGTGTTAACCAGAGGATTTTCTGTGCTTTTGTGGATCTGGAGAAAGCATTTGATAAGGTTATAAGGAAGAAAATGTGGGAACTGTTGCCGGGATATGGTGTGGATGGTCGATTGTTAAGGGCTGTGCAGTCACTTTACTATGACTGTAAAGCCTGTGTGCGGGTAGGGCATGACCTGTCACCCATGTTTAGCGTTCAAGCGGGCGTAAAACAGGGTTGTGTCATGTCTTCCTGGCTGTTCATACTGTATCTCGACAGCTGTTTACAGAAGCTGAAAAATAGCTGTTTGGGTGTGAAATTGGGTGACATAGAAGTTAATTGTCTGTTGTATGCTGATGATGCAGTGCTTATTGCACCATCAGAAGACCATCAAAACTGCAGGCATTAGTCACGTGTATGAAAGAGGAATGTGAAATTAAAGGTCTCCGTTTGAATGCTAATAAAAATAAGGTTCTGGTATTTGAAAAGGACGAAGAGAGAACGAAATGTGAAATATGGGTAAATCAGGAATGTCTAGAACAGGTAAATGAAATTGTATACTTGGGGAGTGCTTTCAGCCGGTATGGAAGATGTGATTTAGATGTGGATAGGCGTGTCGCTGCCGGAAACAAAGTCAATGGTGCCCTGAATGCATTAGTAAAAAGGCAAGGCGTGGTGAAGAGTGCACGCCTTGCAATACAAAACGCAGTGTTGGTACCGACTTTGTTATATGGCAGCGAAACTTGGGTATGCGAGTAGAAGCATAAAAGCAAGTTGAATACAGTGGAGATGCGATCTCTTCGTAAAATGTGTGGCGTTACCATAGCCGACCGAAAGCGAAACGAAGAGATTCGCAATATAGCAGGATTGAAAGATGACCTGATCACAAAAATTGATAGGGACGTACTCCAATGGTTTGGGCACGTTGAACGAATGAGTGAAGACCGAATGGTGAAAAAAATATATAGAGCGAAAGTAAATATTAAAAGGTGTCGAGGTAGACCGAGACTAACTTTCGAAGACCATGTGAGCAAATTGCTCGAAGAGGGGAGTGTCAAGAGTACTCGGATACCTAGACGTGCATGTATGAAGAAGTTAATGAACCTGAAAGAAGCGAAAGAGGTATGTAAGGATCGTGACACTTGGCGATCTGTTCTCTCTGGCTACCCCGTTAGGGATTGTGCGTGACCATAAGTAAGTAAGTAAGTAAGTAATCAAGAGTAGATTTAGATGTCATAGTACTACTGAACATCGAGTGGTGCGTGCTCGTATGTAACCATATCCATCCATAATCCATAAACACTCACGCCTGTCACCCAGAGGGGTAGGCAGAGACTACAGATTTCCATTTGGCACGATTCTGACACACCTCTCTCGCCTCCTTCACATCCATACACCTACGCATACATGCTCGTCGGTTAAGGGTACTCCTAATTGGGCCCGTTTCCAATAAATCGCCAATTCGGTCGATAAATTTTCGCCTAGGACGTCCCTTTCCGACTCTGCCATTCACTTCTGCAACATAAATTTTCTTTGTCACTCTTTCCTCATTCATTCTTTCCACATGACCAAACCACCGAAGCATTCCTTTCTTAATCCTGGTCACAACGTCATGTTGCAAACCACACTCTTCTCTTATTACACAATTTCTTACCCTGTCATTCAGATTCAGCCCTAACATACTCCTTAACGACCGCATTTCTACTTAGTTTATTCTACTCTCGTGCTTCTTCTGCCACACCCAACTTTCACTACCATACGTTAAAGTAGGGACCAACACAGCATTGTGAATTGCCATACGTGCCTTTTTCGACACATTTTGACTCTTCACAATAGAGTGAAAGGCCCCATTTACTCTATTTCCCGCATTCACTCGTCGTTCTATATCCTTATCATATCTCCCATCCCTGCTAAATACGCAGCCCAAATATACAAACTCATCTACTTGCTCGATCAACTCCCCTTCTATTCTTATTTCACAAATCGTTTTACTTTCTTCTCTTTCAAAAACCATAACCTTCGTCTTACTTGCGTTCACTTTCATACCCCTTTCTTTTAATGATCCGTTCATTAATGTAACCATCATTTGCAAATCGGCCGCCGACGACGCAAGAATGACTTGATCATCGGCGTACAAAAGGCATTTGACGGTTAACTCACCCATTCTTAATCCGCATTCTTCAACTTTCAAATTTTGCAAACAACTGTCCATAAATAGGTTGAACAGCCACGGGGAAGCCACACAGCCCCGTTTGACACCTTTATGGATGTCAAACCAGTCCGAGTAGACCCCGTTGATCCTAACACAAGCACTAGAGTCCCTATAAAGAGACTCCAGTGCCTGTATCAAGCCAGCGCTCAACCCAAATGAGTTCAGTGTTAGCCATAGCAAATCCCTATCCACTCTGTCATAGGCCTTTTCCAAGTCCATGAACGCACAAAAAACCTTTTGGTTTTTGGCCAGAAACTTCTCCGCGATCATACGCATGGAAAAAACTTGATCTGTACATCCCATTCCCTTTCTAAATCCCGCTTGCACATCCCAAATTTTTCCATCAGTTTCTTTCATGACCCTTTCAATCAGTACCTTAGCGTACAGTTTTCCCACAATACTAAGAAGGCTGATGCCACGGTAGTTTTTACAGTCC